AAATTCCAACACAGTATCAGTGTCATCAACGCTCAGGGGAGTGACAGCAATGCAAAGAATGCTCTCATTATCTGCTCTGTGATCATATTGCACACTTGTGCTGTAGTGTCAAAAAACTGTATGGCAGGGTGAAGAATTAAAGCAAGAACATAATGAGGAGAATGGCAATGACCTATGTGTAGTAAACCTGCAGGCATTTACACATGTGAGTACACACTTCATACCGACCTCAGTATTAGACACACAGCAACCACCTTGTCAGTTAGGTTTTTATTTTACATTATGAAAGAAACATCAAAGAAGAAATGAAAAATCACTCGAAGTGGTGGTGCACTCAAGACTAGAGCCACTTTTGATGTATCAGAGTGGATATAAAAGTCTGATTCATGCTGCAACCTCACTTCTGCATTTTTCATCCAATCAAGCAAGAAATGGCTATGCGTGTTGCCGCAAGTTGAGACCAGGACAGTGGGGTGACCCGTCCTATAGGAGCTGGCAAGGAAGAGAGGATGAAATCAGTAATCCCCGGGGTTCTGGGCCTCCCTGTGTTGCGTCCTCAATCCCCCCAAGAGTCTGCCAAAATCCCCCCGACAGCAGTCCTCGTTATTTGCCTATCAGTGGCTTAGCCTCACCCCAGACAGAACAGAGAGGGATTTACTGTAGAATACAAGAGAGTACGAACAGAGAAACACTGAGGATAACACAAACAAACATTCCTTATATAGAGATACATAAATCCCCCAGCCATATGGATAAGACTAGAGAAGTTAATGTCTCTGAGAAGTTAAAACATTTATGATAATAGAATAAAAGAGAGCTGTTGTATGTTAGGATAACATTTCAATTGCTAGTGTAAACAATGAATACATAATAATAGAATACATGGAGGCGTGTGGTGCAGTGGTGTGTGCGTTAGTGTTCGGATAAGGGGAGCACAGGTTCAAACCCCACTGCAGTCAGCATGTCGTTGTGTCCCTGAGCCAGACACTTCACCCCAAATTGCTCCTGTGGGGATTGTCCACAGTATTGAGTATGAAAGTCGCTTTGGATAAAAGCGTCTAACAAGTGACATGTAATGTAATGCAACAAGGGAACTGTAGGATAACATTTCAGTTTCTAGTGTGAACAATGACAAGACACTGTAACCTTGACAGTCCTCTCACTATTATAAATAGATCAGTTTCCTACATGAGCCATGTTGACACTGACTCAGTGGCGTGCACCATTATGTCTGATCAAAGCTAAAAGTTTGCATCCTATTAGCCGGACAATCCTAAAGCTATTGTGTTATAAAGCTCATTAGAAAAAGGGGGACTCAGGGGGTTGCACTCACATTACATTAAATTATCTGAATTAGGAAATGAGTTTAAAGTGTCAGCATGCTGCTTGTATTGTAGCTGTAAGGCACTGTGACTCACACTTAACGTAGCACGTTAGCATGCCAAACATGACCACAGAAGAGAGCCATGTGAATACCATGAATGAGTATCTAACTTAGTTTTAATCAGAGAGGAAGAAGGAATCAGAAGTTACGATATCTGCTGTCGTTTTTAAGAGAAACACATGCAGCAGCCAGTCAGTAACACATGAGTATATTAAAACACTCTAATGTCTGATCATTTACACTTTGCTTACCATTAGCATGTAGAAACTGGAACAACCTTTCCAATGTCATGTATCCAGAGGATATTTCTTGTAGTATTCATCACAAGATTAATTTACAACATAAATAACAAGGTGGCAGGGTAGTGGCGTGAAGAGACAGGGTAATGCCAAATTGAATTTAGTTGATAATATCAGACTATTAATTTCCTGTCTGTCACCTTCCAAGGACGGAGGAGGGCGCCTCGCATGATTTATTGGCTCTATACCTTCGGATTTGTTCAGCGTTCTAGATTATTTCAGAGGTACTTTAGGATTTTCCTCTTCACTGTGAGAATCCTGACAGTATTCTTTCCAAAATGTTTTGGGAGACTTTTGTTTTAGGACCTGATGCTCAATGAATTCATTTCAAATGTCATTAATCCAATAACACAACAAAGGGGAAATGGCTGTTTTAAATTATAGTTGGAGCTGCTGTCGTTTAAGGCCCTGTCACACTGTCCCGAAATTGACACCCGATGGACACACGAATATGGAATTGTGAATTTCGCACGATGATGGCCCCGAACCACACACGAAGGCAACATTTACATTACATTTAAGACATACAACTGCAATGAAAGTACCAAAAACAATTGTGTTACAGTACTATGATACTGTACTGATATCTTCAGACTTTGTTCTTTACTTTATCCGTCGTTATATGTAGAAAATATTACGTTTTCTCCGTAATGTTGTTTCCATAACAACAACAACTTCCTGTCAACTGTCCTTCAAAATAATATATTATATCCTTTTTAGTTTCACAGAACACAAATTGGGTTATTTACATAATATATTTACATGATTTTGTTGTGCAAATAAAACAACCCGATGGACACACGATAAAGGAAATGTTCAAATTCGGCTGTGATCGTAGCAACATCGGGTCATTCGTGAGGGCATCTTAAGCCTTCGTATGACCGCCGGTGGAGTTTCTCAGGCTCCGGCAGCAACTTCGTGAGCGGTGGCAAAATCTTTGGCATGCCAAAAAATTGCCGAAGGACCTTGCGAAGGTTCATTTTCGTGTTGAATTCGTGTGTCAATTTTTCCCTTCGTAAGGCCATCTTGAGGGCATCGTGTTATCATCGGTGCCATCGGGCATTCGCCCCGATCAGAGTGAGGGCCAGTAGCGTGGCGTGGGGGAAAATGTAGGGGAAGCCCATTTTTTGGGTCGGGGGGCGGTCAATAACGTAACCAGATGAGTGATTACAGCGCCCGGTATCATTTTACACACATTTGTATCACACAGATGCAGGACTTGCACACGCCTGTTATCTAACCGACAGGTCCGCACGCACTGTCCAGCTGAAACTCTCTTCTTATTAATTTAAGCATTTTACTTATTAATGTATGCAGACAATCACACAATCTATGTGATTTTTGGATTTACCGTGCCTCTCAATTGCCCGTGACAGGTTGGCAAGGTCGATGAATCCTGAAGTTGCCCAAGTATTGTTCAGGGAGCACGAATCCTTGTCAAAAAGAAGACATGGCCAGCCAAATAGACGCTGAAGTTTAGCGCTTCCAGTTAGCCACTCCGTGCGGACATAATTGTCCTCATTGAACGTCCGATTCTCTCCCTTTTTCCTCTGCGTACACACAGCTCGAGTGCGGGCATTGGCCTGTCATCTGATTTAATTTTTAGTTGCTGCTGTAGCGGAAGTTTAGTAAAGTTATGTTTGATTAAGTACGCCAAATCTCCACCCTCCATAATGCTTCATTTGCTTGATAATTTCTAACGGCGGTGATGACAGTTACAGTATTAAAACTGATGTTGATGTGATTTGATTGGATGGCAGTGTCCAATCAAATCGCCAGCCGCCAGCCGTCCCTGAAGGGAAGCTAGAGGCGGCTGGCTTCCCTTGGCATGGCCCTGACCAATCACAGGTTGGCAGGGGCATCACGTGGGCCTCATCTGATTGGTCAATCCCTCCATTTTTTTTCACCAAAGGAAGCCAGATTCGGCTGGCCTCCTCTCGCAACAGTGAGTGCAATCTACTGTTTCACCATAACATCTAGAGGGGCGCTGTTTGTTTCACTCTTTGTAAAATACTCAATGAGAATGGGGGAGAGACGGGCCGGCAGCAACACACAGTAAAGGAGAATTATCGAAACAAAACAAAGTGTTTTTATTTATTTATTTAAATTATAAATACAATCCGAAAAAACAGAGGAAGCCTGGCTTCCCTTGGCCTCCGGGAGAAAACGCCACTGGTGAGGGCGAATGCCCGATGGCACCGATGATAACACGAAGATGACACGATTTGACAAGATGTCCTCACGAGTGCCTTACGAAGTTGCCGCTTACTAAGTTGCTGCCGGAGCCTGAGAAACTCCACCGGCGGGCATACGATGGCTTAAGATGCCCTCACGAATGGCCCGATGTTGCTACGATCACAGCCGAATTTGAACATTTCCTTTATCGTGTGTCCATCGGGTGTCAATTTCGGGACAGTGTGACAGGGCCTTTACAGGCTGCAACACACTGCAGCTGTTTTTAATAACTTTCTTGACGGCATGGAGGTTATCAAACATATACACATATACTTTACCATTCAGATGCATAGGTTATATACAATACATGTGAACACATCCATTAAAAGACTGTTACACCAGAAAATTATGACTAAGACATTACAAATGACTAACATTGTGATTAGAAGCCAGGCCCAGTCTCTCAATGAAGTCATGTTCCTATTGACAAAGCGCTAGTGCTGACAACGAGCCTTGGTTGAATTTATCAAAATACTGAACATCCTCTTATCTCACACAGGACCACTGAGATTACTAGGCAATAATGATACACTGGAAAAAGTGTGTCTTTTTTAAAATAGGTGTGAAATGTTTTTGCTGACAGCTCAATCCCACAACATTTTGATCCTGCCCTTTCCCTCCTCTTTTATTACCATTTCTTACATTACTTAAGCCCAACTCGTGAATCCTTAAGCCTAAATTCAACACTTTTACCTTGAAGTGAGGAGTAGTACAAATGATTTATCACACACACACACACACACACACACACACACACACACACACACACACACACACACACACACACACACACACACACACACACACACACACACACACACACACACACACACACACACACACACACACACACACACACACACACACACACACACACACACACACACACACACACACACACACACACACACACACACACACACACACAAAGCCTGTGTTGCTGTTTCTAAGGAGATGTCAACATTGTGAAAACAGATGAGGGAACATGTGTGGAATTTTAAGACTGGTCACCGCTTCGTCACTCCTCCCAACCTACATGACTCTGCGCCCACTGAAACAAATGTAGATAACAAGCCAGTCCAACAGATTTTAAGTTCCTGTTTATTGTGCATGAATACTAACAGGATGTACAAACAATCAGTTTCAATCAACCCCAGACATTTGACTTAAATAAAATATTAAAATCTTACGCACAAGTTTTCTGTAACACAGAGTAAAATAGCATCAACAGGCACCGTTAAGACATATTTATCATGTTTTTTGCAGATAAATAAATACTCTTCAAGACAGCTGCTTTAAAAAAGGCATAATAAAATCCCACTTTTGAAAGCCCTGCAAAAATATGAAATATTGGAAATATCTGAAATGAAAGGGAAGAATTTGATATGCACTAAAACGGCAAGAATTAGTCCGTCTCTTTTTAAGAAATGACATTCACAGTTCAACAACATGACTACAATCTATCCTGCTTTACATCCCTGTATGTCTCTCATCCTCCAGATGAAACAGGGCCAGCCCGTCAATAAATCTGTCCTTTGATGTTCAGCAGCCATTAAAGAAGAGTGTCCTCACTGTCCTCATTGTGTGTGCTGAGCTGTGTCTTCCTCCGAGCTCTGATGGCGGCCCAGATTCGACACAGCATGCCACCTCTGAAAAAGCAATTTTGGACAAAATGAAAAACAGTGTGACAAGCGTGCCATGTCTAACACCACCGGGGCTTTTTGATGAAACTCAAACTAACGAGGTAGACTGCATCTTTTCTATGACACCATCTCTGGGTGAAATCCCCTCTTACATTTCTGCATGGAAAGATAGAGTGAGGGTGATGTGTGGCGGCAGCTCACCTTATTCCACAGTACATCAAGTCATCCCTGGAGGCCATGAAAAGGAGACAGTCCAAGGTGAACTCATGAGAGAGCAACTATAAAACAGGATCGGACAGGTTTGGATTAATCATGTGTAAATGACTAACACCTAGGAGTAAAGAAAAGGGCTTATTTTAAATTGAGTTTACCTTATTTATAGTGTATTTATCTACAGGGACAGACTCGAGCCAGCGCACCAAAGCCCTCACTTCTGGATTTGAGCCTTTCCGTTTAGCCAATCCACCGTCTATAATGTAAACAGATGACAAACATTCAGACTTGCTGGTGCCAATTACAATATCTTATGGTGTTAATGTTACAAACTATAGAAGCACTTGTCATTTTTCTGCACGCAGAATCTAAAATCATTATCCAAACTGCCATGTCAAGTTTGATCACATTAGCTGCCGGTCTTAATGTGATCAAACTTGACGCCTCCGACAAGAACCAGTCAGGCAGAAATCATCCAGCGCCTGAAGCTGAGGTGTGGTGGGGATTCACTGGTACAAGTGTTGAGAAACAGTAATGGGAATCACTGAGTGTATTGATAATCCAAAGAGGGCTTGGTCCCTTGATGCAATACTGGTCATGCTTCAGCTTGCGCAGTTAATCGTCTGACCTTACGCTGAGCCCTTACGCTGAGCCCTTACCAACCAGATAACGACTCCTTACATTAATGGCGCACGACTTAAGAAACACAAAACAGTAAAATGACTCAACTTTTGTAAATTTTACAAGCAGGGGAATCATAACACACATGCTGACTTAAGATGGTTGACATGGATGTTTGACCTAGATAAAATCAATAAATATTCTTGAATGTTTTTTAAGAATGTGATGTACTAGATTGGTATGTTTGTATTGACTTAAGTCAAAGCTATTGGCAGAACATGATTTAACAGCCATTAAAAAGATTGGATAATTCGTTCAAGCCCATTTTATATATTAGATATTGATTGGGTATATTACAAAACTGCTGTCTTTTAGTAAAAATTCCCTTTTTGTGCTTTCATCAACATGGATAGGTTTCCTGTGTGGAACATTTCCATGAGAAAACACTGGCAATAAACATACATGTGAATATCAAAACTAAGATACAGACTTGATTTCGCCAATTAAATCAACAAATTCGCTTCTCTTTTCTTAACAGAATGTGTATTAGTGTAGAGTAGTTGTATTACCGCGTCTCCTTTAGCCATAACCGTCTCAACATACATAACAAAAACTTTACCTTCAGTGGCAGCTGCTTTCATCAGTGCATCCATCTGTTCCTGCTTCCTCCTGACAGAGTTCCTCAGTAGCTCCTGATACTCACTCTCCTTCTCATGCAGCTGACTCAGCAGTCTGAAACAAAAACATCCATCATTACTCAGCAGAAAGCAGTGCCAGCCTAACATCACAATAATCACTGTGTTTCGCTTAATAGAGAAGACGGTGTTGGAGGCATTTTTTTTAAATGGTCAATAGCCTGCATTTATAAAAAACACACACACACACACACACACACACACACACACACACACACACACACACACACACACACACACACACACACACACACACACACACACACACACACACACACACACACACACACACACACACACACACACACACACACACACACACACACACACACACACACACACACACACACACACACACACACACACACACACACACACACACACACACACACACACACTGCAGGGGCTGTGGATTTAACCATTGACATTCTGATTGGTGGATAACTACTCTACCAACTGAGCCACGGCGGCCATTGTATATTTCCACAACAAAAACGAATAAATGTACAATCCAAATGTCAGTTTATGTAGCCTTTTAATGCTACAGAATAGATGTACATTATGATAATACAAACTGCTATTCACAGCTCGTGGAAGTCTTTAAAAAAAAAATCAAAACACATGTATACAATTTAGCCTTTTAGGAAGCAAATTCCTGCTTTGTGCTGCACTTTCTCAATGCATTGCGATGCATTTTAACCTGTCATCTGATTGTGTGTTGAATTTGCATTATCCTCCTTTTAATGCACAATTTCATCGTTGTACCTTTAATCTAAAGGTATTTTTTATATGTCTACTCTTTGCTATTTTTCTTTGTTTTTATGTATTTTACTGGTACACATGATGTATCACTTGTATATAGACTCTTATGGCACTACTTCTATTCTATTTTATTGTATTTACTTCCACTATTTTATCTGTTTTATTGTGTTGCACTGTTGGAGCAACATCTCTCAAATCAACTCAATTGATGCAGCATGTAACAAGAACATAACATCTTATACATTTAGAAAACACCTGAAAGCTACCTGCTGGTCTCTATCCGCATGTCTCTCAGTTTCTCACTGAGGGGACAGTTGCTGTTGAGGACCAGGTCTGTTGGGGAGTCGGGGCTTGCAGTAGGCAGAATCTTATAAATGGAGGCTGTTGTCTGCTGCATGTCTGGTGGGGCCCACACCTGGTCTGGGACAATGACTACAGGAGTGTCTGGGTCAGCAGGATGCTCCTCAGAAGTGCTGTCTTCAGTCTCAAAGGAGGACTGCAGCTGGATTTTCAGCTCTGAGAGGTGGGAGGAATGGAAGAGGGACAGATGATGAGTAAATAAAAACTACTAAACTCACACAGTATAAGATGAAGGACTACCTGGTAGCAGCACAGTGATGGCGTCCTGCACCGCCTGTCTCAGCAGATTGTCCAGAGCAAACATCCAGTGAGGCTTCACCTGCTGTTGTCTCAACACCTTCTTCACCTGGAAACAGAGCAGGAAGTTCAACATGATTGAAATGTAACTTAGTCTATAGCTCACAGGAGTGTAATCACCATTGTTGACTCTGAAGGAACTTACTGCATCTTGGAAGCTAAACAGCACCGCCTGCAGGCCGTTCAGTGACACTACAGCAGCCAGCAGGGTGGCTCTGAGGCGCAGCAGGCTGCTGGTCAGCTGCTTCCTGTCCGGGGAGCGGATGTTGTCTCCCAGGCAGTGAACGAGCTCAGTGATCTGATCTGCAGTCAGCGATGATCCCTCGCCATGCTTGAAACAGAAATAAAATGTTGGAAACACAAATTCTTCATGCCATAATACAATACCACCTGCGTGCTTTCCATAAAGCACAATAAAACAGCATTAGCACAGAACACCATTAAAATGGCATCAAAAAAGTTAATTTGGAGACAAATAAATATTCCATAGTCATGGCTGGGAATTTATAAAAAAATTGCTTATTTCATGTTTTTATGATTTTTTTAATTTGCTTAATAGGTTTTAAGATGTTAGCCTTTTTATAAGTATGATATTTAAATTAATATAATAACTCCCTGCTATTATCTCTTCAATTTACACAACAGAGTATTTTAGGTTATTCTTTGACATAAAACAAAAGTGAGAGAAACCGCCTAAGCTTACAATTTTCTTGCTGTATTTGTTCTGGGGGACATAACAGCTCTGGAAATATGGAAAACAAATGCCACTCCCAATGTTAAATAAAAAGGCAGAAATGCCCTCAGGCTAAAGATTATTAACTCACGAGCCAACTCTTATACTAACCCGAATTGATGGATCACACCAAGGTTTCATATTTTGGCGTTTTTGGCTATGCGAATATTGCCAAGTCTGGACAATTTGTGTAATATCCAAATAAGATCATATCCAGAGATTCTCATTTACACAGGAATGTCATTGCCGATTACACAGGAATTTAATTATGAGTGAACCAATAATGGTTCTAACACTAAGAATTGTTTGAACCGTTTTTTGGAATTTGTTTATTTAATCTTGTTAAATGAATTTAAAAGCTGAAAGAGAAACTAAATATTAGTGAGATACCCTATACTTCATAGCCTAGGACATCCTATGTAGTGTATATGTTATGAAGGAAGCCATGAAGGTTATATATTTGACAATGTTTTGTCTCTTGTTTTTGTGACTTTACTTTACCCACCTGGGGCACAGACTCCTGTATATGAGAGACAACATGGCTGATGTAGTCTGTGAGGACTCGGTGTAGTGTGGCTCTCCTTTCGCTGTCCTTCCTCAGCATAAAAAGACCAACGTTCTCCTCTGTGGTGGCTGGACTGCCCATGTCTAATGGAGAGTCTTCTGGTATTCTGGACAGAAGGGGGCAATACAATAAATCAACAGATTAAGATAGTTATGTATCTAGTGAAATAGAAATCACACTAAAAAGAAATGAAGATAAGACATTGATGATTCATTATGTAAGTTAAACATTGTCTTTTGTAGACTGTGGCATTCGATACAGTGGCATTACACCCTTTTGACGCCTACACAGGATGTTGCCTCACAAGACTATATAACTGTAACCTTTATGTGGTTTGCCCCTGATCTAAGATCCTGTAAGACAATTGTTGACGTAGAGATAGTACATTTTTTATTTTTCTGTTGAGCAATAATGTTACTCACGACAGAAAGCTGTTGATACTCTCAGAGGTTTCAATTACTCTGAGGGGGAGTTGGTGCATCCTGAGGTCAAGGGAACAGGACAGGTCAATCGAACCCGAGTACGAATCTGTGTCCTCCACAAAGATGGAGATAGGTACAGACAAGCTGCGCTGGTAGTCAGCTGCAAAACCAGACAAGATTGTGGTTAGATATGAGTTCAAGATATCTGACATTAACCAGGTTACAACATAAATGTCAACAAACATGTATAATGACAAAGCGTTTCGTAATGGGAACAAAGAAAGTGAGATAAACTGGCTGATGAAGAACTGACAATATATGTGAGAAAGAAAAGCAGTAAGTGAGTGTTAAGTCTCTCACCAGCAGAAAGGTATTCTTTAGGTTGTGAATCCTCCGGGGTCCTGGCCTTCTTCCTGGGGCACGACCTGAGGAAAGTGTCATTCAGCAGCTCTGCGGCCGTAGCTCTGTAGTCGGGGTCCGGTAGGAAACATTTTATCATGAAGGCCTTCGCCTTGTCTGACATGCACTCTGGCACCTTGGGGTGGATCTTGAACATGCCCACCTTGAAGGGATAATGTACATGTTACTGACAGAGTTTGATCAAATGTCATTAATACTTAAAAGATTTGTTTTATGTTTATTTAAACGACAATAAGTTATTTGTATTTGTTGTCCTGTGTGTCCTGGCTCTGTAAGGCTTTACTGATGCTGTGTTCACGCAACAGTAATTACAAAATTCCGACATCCGAAAAGCACTCACGTAAACAAGTCTTCATTTTGACTGGGACCTTTTTACGCAAACTCGTAACTTTATAACTTAATTGGTAATAAATAATATGGAAGTACCAACAAAACAACTCGTATCAAATATTACAACAGAAAAACCCAAATGTATGTAATATAATTTATGCCGATTTCAATGGTTATTGTGGCATTTACATCGTCATGCTAACATGTTAATGTTTAACATTATCACCATTTGAGTTTAATCTGTTAGCATGCTAGCATTTGCCAATTAGCTCTAAACAAAGTCAATTCACATTTTGACCTGATGATGGTGCTAGATAAAAAGCAGTCATAGTCATTACAACTCATCCTCCTGGTGAGATTAAAGTATACACCATCCATCCAGTTCAGTCAAACACCATCATGTGGGACTTTTTCCTGAAAGCCTGGCTAGCATGTAGAGCTATATATATGTATAACCATCAACCTAAAATACAACTTTCTCTTATTTACCTTGAACATGGCTGCCTGCGGACTTCCCAACTCATGAAAGGGTGGTTTGCCCGTTGCCATTTCTATAATAGTGCACCCCAGGGACCAGATATCAGCCGGCTTCCCATAACCCCGAGGCCCCTGGTCTATAATCTCTGGGGCCATGTACTGCAGAGTTCCTGAAAATAATCATAAAGGTGATCAAAATGCAACCACTGTTATCAGTCCACAGATAAAATGACAGTATATCCTTCTGATTGAGTTAAAAGTAGAGAGCATCTTACCAGCAAAGGTCTCAGTGCAGGGGTTAATCCCTGCTAACCGCTTGGAGGTTCCAAAGTCAGAGATCTTTAACACTCCACTATAAGTGTTGATCAATACATTGTCACCCTGCAGCAAAGACAAAAAGCCCACATGATTTTACTCAAATACAAACATATTAGACAATAAAACAAGGATGACATTGTTGGCCATTTGTCCGCAGAAGTCCCATGGTGCTCCGCTCACCTTAATGTCTCTGTGGACTATCTGATTGTCATGAAGGTATTTAAGCCCCTCTAGGATCTGCTTGGTGTAGAAGATGATGGTGGCTTCATTGTCTTTCAGGGGACCCCATTTGGAGCGGAGAAGAGATGACAAACTTCCTACAAGCAGTAAATATCATGTTAATTAAGCCGATTCATACTTTCTCACATCTACATGAAGGCAGTGAAGGGAATAAACATCATTTCTTCTGTTTGTGCTGGTAAATGCAATATTCTGTTTTGGTTGAATACGTTAATTCTCAGCAACATGTGGCAATATCAATCATGCCATAGTCTGCAGAGATTTTTCTTCAATGAGCAGGATGTGGGAAACTGCCCACTTTCTTAAAACTGGCTTCCAGTTGATATTACACAATCACAACTCCACTGAACACAAGAGAGACACTCAACTTCCTTAAAACGGACTGGAATAAGGGCATCATCCTGTTACAGGGTCACACAAATACTAGGGAAATACAACTTGAAAGAAGGGGCGGGTTTTCCTTTTGTTGGCACTTTTTCAGGAAGCAGAGCATGACTTCTTTGTAAGTCTATTTTCATTCCAGGGAAAGTATCAACATTGTTTCATCCGGTGACACAAATTGACTTATGTATAACTATTAGTTTGTAGATCAAATGAAAACAGTTCAACACTGATGTATAAGTCTGGGCCTCTTTGGGAAATTGAAAAGTGAATGTGGAAAAATGTAAAAGACATGAGTAAGTATTAGCAGAAGTGAATGCATACAAATAAAACAGAATTTTATTAAATTATCACATGTGTAAAGTTGGTCTTCAGGTTTTTAATGTTTTCATGTAGCCAAATATTAGCTTAAGACAGCATCAGTCAGTTCTAGTGACTTTCCTGTTTTTTGATACAATATGTTAAGTCTCATACTGCAAGGTGTGTGTGTTTAACTTTTAATTTGAACATCTTATTTTATATATATTTATAGCCAGTGTGTGTGTGTGTGTGTGTGTGTGTGTGTGTGTGTGTGTGTGTGTGTGTGTGTGTGTGTGTGTGTGTGTGTGTGTGTGTGTGTGTGTGTGTGGATTTGGCCAATGGTATCCAGTAATGGACAGTTACCCTCTACTGCTCTTTGAAGCCAAAAGTGTACATTTCAGGATTCATACCTCCAGGTACTTCGTCCATGAAGATCTTGATGAAACCATCCTGACTGACAGAGCCCAGGTACTGGACAATATTTCTGTGTTTTAGCCTCTTGTGCAGAGCTATCTCCTCGTGGAGGGGCTGGGAGTACCTGGAAAATAACAAAGCATGATAAGTGGAACAGTGAGGTAAAAAGTTGAACTATGATTTTTAGATTTTTTACTGTATAAATAATGGTCAAGGGCAGTTTCACTTCTCTAACTAAAGCCTATAGATTAGGGATAACGATATTATCCCAATACACACTTGAATAATAATGCCATCAGTCAAATGTTTCTTCAACTTTGTTTAGTGTGTGTTTTTGTCTTTTTGGCAAATGAATAACAAAGTAGGAATGTAAGGAGGCGGAGAGTGTGCATTATTTCCCTTTTTTAGTGTCATGGTGAGGTCAATACCGGTATGTCTCAACACTCCTTATCTGTTAACCTCTGCCCCTACTCATTTGACACAATATTTCTCAATTTGGTTTTTTGCCAAGACCACAGCTTTATAAAGACAAACAAATATTGTGTTGTGTCTTTGATGCAAATGCTTGAAAAGTTATTTACATATTTTCATATGACACCGCAGTGCAGCCTTTGTGTAGATGAGGAAGAGGAACATACAAAGAATGAAAAGTCGGAAAACTCATAAATCTCCCCTAAGATTCGTAAAAAGCACTGGGGATCCATAGCATGCCAGTGAGGAGTTTCTCTGCCAAATCATTTCCCTTTAAGGAAAAAACCTTCTTGTGAGAAAAAGTGCAGCTTAAAGTCTGCCAGAAAGGGACGACTAGAGGAAAAACAGTAAAAGTATTGTTTTCTCATACGTGCTGTCCTTCTCAGGGATTTCCTTGATGGCGATGCGCACTTGGTTGCTCAGGTCTCTCCCAGCATACACCACACCGTACGTCCCTTTACCCAGAAGCACCTTGTCGCCATTCTCATTGGTCTCGTAGACAAACTGTTGATAGGAGTGAAGACAGCATGAATCAGAAAGTATGAGCATCAGGAGAGATTTGAGGAGTTTCACACGCAGGATAGAGAAATGTGAAGAGAACAGATGTTTCATTCAGGGAATTCTGGTATGTTTCTAACTTGTTGAGGCAACTGAGCCCTAAAATAGAGAGGACTCTGCGTAAGAGGAATTGAGGACTGTGACTGACCTCTAGTACTCCCTCTGCTACATGGTTCAGGTCCTGAGCGGGGTCTTCAGCCTGCTGCAGCAGAGAGTTCACCAGCTCGCAGAAACTAGTGACAGAAAAGTGTGAGGAGGCATTTATGTAGATGAGAAGCTCTTATGTGGTTAAAAAGGAAAGAAACACCAACAACATCCAACATGCCCTGAGACTTCCAAAGAAGTTACCCATGAAAGTTACACCCGATATGTGGAAGTAAACATAATGAATAGAATCGACTTTCACAGGCTTTGACCACAGTTCAATGATTTACAAGTGTGGCCTTTTTGTTTATATAGTATACAAAAGCATACATGCACAAGTGCGAGCGACGATATACACAGTCCTGACACATTTTCAAACGGTTGCCTTGATCAACAGCTGCAGGTGACATTCTTCATATATAGTCTATGGTGGAGGCAATGGCAGTGAAAAAGAAGACTAGCAATAAATCATGAATCTGTACAATGCAAAATGTACAATACTTTTAACAGTTGGCTTTGCAGATGTTCTATGAGGAAGGAAATGTACCAAGCCTTACAGGTGTTGTTTAGCGGAAACCTTAAAAAGGGCATTTTTAAGGGATCAGTTGACCAAAATCTCAATAAAGGAAGCATTCAGCTCTGCAGAAAGCTTCAGTTTGACTTCCCTTTTTTTGGAAGAGACTTCCGAGGGAAAATATCTACAGTCCTAAATGAACCAGGATATTGTATGAGGAGTTCTCTGAGGTCACTCCGTTATATTAATGTGGCAGTTAAGTTTTAGCAGTGGGTCGCCCGAAACTGAATCTATCAACAGAGGTTAGACATTTTTTTATTTTTAGTTGGCTTTGACTCTTTAAGTCAGAGAGAAAAATATGTGAAAGGGGATTTCCAAGAGTAAAATAAAGGAAACATGACTCATTCAATGTTATTGCATTAAACTCATCACGTTACGCAACCTACTGTACCTTAGTCTGCAAAGGTGAATTACCTATTTGTGACGTCTGATAATGTTCCTGTACCCTGTAATGATGGGCTGTTTCTCTCTATTCAGCCCGTCAGTTGGTCGGTGAGCAAGTCATTCGCATTGCCTCACTTCACACACTCTGACCGGCTGTTTCTTTACCAATGTTTTAGTGACTCACCCTTTGCAGTGAAGCTCGGAGGGGAAGCAGAGCTGGAAGTCATCTGAGTTGTAGTGGACATACAGGAAGCAGCTCCGCTCATCAATCTTTGAAGCACTTAAGAGGGGGAAAAGCAAATAAGGATTTGAAACATTTATACTCCCTTATTCAATTGTTTAGGATATGCACTGCAGAGCAAAAACATAGAAGTGTGCTAACCGTAACCGCTTAAAATCCCTTTTCTGAACCAGCAGCTAATGTTTGCAATACAGAGGGTATCTGTTTTGATTAAACAGACTCACCATGGATTCATTCAGTAAATGCTGATGAGTAAGGCCCTTCACAAAAGAAAAACATGTTTTTCTCGTTTTTTCCCCAAACATTTACAATCTGATAAGGTTGTTTGTTTGGTGTTCTTTAGTGACCCAGCAGCTGACTGTTTTGGGTATTTGCTGAAAACAGCCCGAGTGGCAAATCGGCAGACAATACAAGGCCAAAGTACACAGCGGCAGTGATCAGTAGCCAGAGGGAAATCAAAGGACTATACGAACAACAAGGAGGCAAAGCCTGCCTCTATATCAACAGAGCAGAAATCTGACAGACAGCCAAGGTTTCCCAGACAACCTTTGTGTTGAGGGCTTCGCTGCAGGCTTGAACACACCCAGAACTCAGAGCAGATATTTGAGAGATGTTAGCACATGCTGAACCGCACTTTACCTCACTCCCCGAATTGCAGAGGCTGGGAACGTCCACTGGTGTAAGCCTTTCTGTGGAATCAAGTAGGAAGGACACAGATTGTTGACTGCTGAAACACATCCATAGCTTTTATTTGCATGCATGAGAAATACAAGAGAGGGAAAGTAAACGGTCCTGAGGTATGAAGTAGGTCATTTTTCCCACACAGTGACGTCCATTGAACACACCCACACACTCATCCTATTAAACATTCACTGGGTCATGAATCAGTGTGAGACTTGCTTTCACAATACCATTTATTTTGAATTCTGTTTGTATTGCAGGAAATATGTATCCAGATAAGAGTGTGGTTCTAACAGAGGGTCAACATACCTTTAAGGGAGTGACGTGTCTCAACTGGACAGTGCAGCTGTCATCCTCCTCGCTCACACACACAATAGCTGGTTGGAGGATTTTACTGGGCTCCATAATGAGCACCTGAAAAGCAACACATTCAGATTATGTTACCAATATTTTAAATAACCAAAAAACAATCATTTATTTCTTTTTAGAGGTCAACATTTTCTCTCTTTTGACATGTTTTCTCTTTCTTTATCCATTCATTACAGCACTGAGTGTTGACCTTAAGATTAAATGGACAGAAGGTGGAGGAGAAGTTTGATGTTTATCGTTACAGTAAGGGTCAACGTTATCAGTGTGGTCTTACTGGGCAGCGGCCTGTGGAGTCGGTGGGTTTACAGGTTTGCAAAAGCAGCTCCATCCAGAAGTCCAACGTTTCCTGTTTAGGAGATTTCACCTCAGGAAGCTTGGCAAACTGACGGTACAGGATATACGTCTCCATGATGGATGCCACATACCTGAAAGAAGTATTAAACTAATTAATCAACAAAAACATAATATGGCTATAAGACCAAAATCCCTCTGAATGGTTTCTTATTCACAGGGATTCTGATTTTTTAATCCAACAATGTACATGATTACCACTAATCCAGAATGAAAGCCTCACCATACAGGAGCATTGAGTCTGTAAAGTTTATCAGAGGCCATGATGACTTTCCGATGTTCGTTAGCGAGGATGTTTGCCCCAAGGTAGAAGCCGACATCCCAGTAATCCTTCATCTTCTCCAAACTGCCCTTTCTACCGAGCAGAGTGCTTAGAGTCACGCCTGAACACCAGCACAGAGCAAAACAATTCATTAACAAATTCATACGAAATAACGATTATATTTAGAAACTAAAAGGCTTATACTGTATGTGTATTAACAGATGACAGCTGCCCTGTCCAACTATAAGTCATTCTCTGGGGTGCCGAGCAGGTATACAAAAAAAAGGCAATAGTGATTTAACACTACACACATTCTAAATGATACATGAACAAATAAATAAATGAATTAATGTATTGGGAAATTGACATGAAATAAGCTTTTCAATGATTGGTTTTCTCCATATTTCATTGTATCTTAAACATTTAAAATCCAGCCTGAATTGTGGACTCTCACATTAAAATAATGGATTGCATCATAACTAAGTAGAAGGGTAATACACCTACAGCATAAAGTGTAATGTGCAAGTAGTATAAACTCATTGACACAATAAATCCTTAGACCATAAACTTGTATTGCCGCAATATTTGATCAAAGCCGATATTTGTCATTGATTCTATCTGATAAAGAAAGCAGAAAGGAGTAGCACCTATTTTGCGCAGTTCAATAGAAGTGTCAAATTCATGTCCAGCTGCCATCAGGAGGACCACGTTGTTGATGGCCGAGTGAAGAGTTGGCTCTGTCTCAAACCCTTTTCCATACCTGACAAATGATACAAAAAGAGCAATAACGGATTATAATAGAACACTGCCAGATAGGGGGAATCAGTTACACCAAAACAGTAATGCAACATAAACAGTAAACACATGTAAGTACTTTTAAGTGGAGTATGTAGTAAAGAACAGAAAGCAGTTTGTAATATGCACCAACACAAAGCGGTTGTACCAATAGCAGGCCTGGTCTCTGCTGCGCTCATCAGTGAAACCAGAGCTCATGAACATGTCTTTGAAGATCCTTCCACACAGGCAGTAGATGTCTGACGCCACTTTCACCCCTGAATCCACAATGGGTAGAATTGCATCCAAAGCCTTGGCGCGATCTCCAGGGAGATTCCTCCTGAAATATTTGTTGATATCAGCTGTGATAAGCTTGAACAAAATCCCTCATATCTACTATTCATACAAGACAAATACAAGCTACAGGCTGGGAATGGTACAAAATGGTTGTATCTAAACAAGAGCAGAGACTATAATACTATACTAAAACTAACTATAAATGCAATGGGGGCTTTATGGGTACCTGTTTAGAGCAAAGATGTAGTTAAACTTGATATTCTGATGTCTGGCTACCAGACACATGGGTAGGTCATTCAGAGTCTCCACCAGTTTGATTATGGCATCGTAGTCCTGAGAGGGTGCAGAATTACAATGCATTATTGAACATGCTTCTAATTACATTTAATAATGTATATGACTACTAGATTTATCAACAATAACCATTGAAACCTTAATTGTGGTCTACATCAGTGATTCTCAAATGGGGGTACGCGGACCCCTGTGGGTACGTTGGGGTACTGCAGGGGGTACGTGAGATTTAAAAAATAAAAAAAAGGTTAGTTAAAAAAATAATCTTAGTAAAATAAGTTAAATAGAAAACACAATTTTATATAAAACATTCCTAGAACCACCAAGGGGGTCCTCATATAAACATGTCAAATGTGTGTATTGTATTTTATAGTTTTTCACAATAACATATTACTTAAATTGAAAAACTCCTTGGAAAAAGTGTTACGTTATTTTTTTTCATGCATAAAATGAAAATATCCTTAGTTTGTTGTAATGCATACCACGAAGGAGTTAATACATCACACACTGAGGGAACATCACTATATTGTAATTATTTATATAGGCTTTTTCGATCAAAAATGTTCGGGATCGGTCAGGGGGTACTTGGCTGAGAAAATGTTTCAAAGGGGGTACATTACTGAAAAAGGTTTGAGAAGCACTGATCTACATCACACCTGACATGCAATCTGATCATGTGTTTTGGTCATATCTGATTACTTTTAAGGGAAACATTGCTGATTTTGAACCAGATGTGTAGTTTCTACTGTTGCAATGTGGATAGTTAATGTGCATGTATAGAGGGTTCAGCTAGCATGATACTGGCAACTGGAGTTACCCGCTCATTTGCCAGCTCGAATGCCCTTAACATTAATATTTTCACCACGAAACACTGGTTTTTATTGTGTTTTAAGCAAAAATTCCTTAAATGTAGTAAATTAATCAGTTAATGATCCATAAATCCCAAACGTGTTCTGGTCTGGTTACGTGAAGGTGTGCAGTTTTGATATTCACTGAATCTTCAATATTAGGATAATCGTTCTTTTTCTCAAACAATTGTAATATGACATTTTTGGCCTTGAAATTAATAGATTTCTCAAACTAAATCATTTGAAAGATGACTAAAGAAATAGAATAACTGGTTGTAGCCCATAAGCTTTTACACACCCCATGTCAGAGCATTTACTAATATGCACACGTAAACCGTGCAGTCTATGACGTAAACACACACCTGATTGTCTCTGTAGGACAACAGCAGGTTGGTGACTATATCAGGGGTGAGCAGCTCGACACTGTCCAAGCGTTTCTGGATGCGGCTCAGCTCCTCACTCAGGGCTTGGCCACTAAACCGCTCCCGTGCCATACGGATCTCGTGCCTGATCGACTCCCGGAAGTACTCACTGTCAGCACAAGAGGAGAAAACATTTTAATGTACAAATCTACAAATGCATGTGCAATCTGAGACCATGAAGTTTTTGGTGAAGCACACAATGGTAGACGAAGCCCTGCTGTGTGTATCTGACCTGGACTGAATGTGCACATTGTTCAGCAGATGCACCAGTCTGTCCACCATCGGAGTCAGCAGGGGCTCCAGCTGGAAACTAGGCTGCATCAACTCATTGATACCGTTCATCATGGCAGCATCACAGGCAAACACTTTTCCCTGAGGGGACACTACGTAAGGGAGGAACGTGTAGCTTCCACACTGCTCCTAAAGGGAACAAATACACAATCATGCAGGGTTCAATACACACTAGGGGATCATGGATGTGTTTTTGCTTTTGATGCTTAAGGTTTCATTTCATTTGACTCTATGAAAACAATGGATTTGGTTGTGATTTCAAATGCCTTTATCATCAACACAGTATTGTTCTATCAAATCTCTTTTCATCTATAACATTTCATGAATTACATGATTTCCTTTAGAGGTATTAACTGTTTTTTACATAACTGTGATTAAGTGCCATTGGCCTGAAAACAAACTGAAAGTCATGTAAACATTCATTTGAACATTAGTCACCTTCATTGTTAGGAAATAGTGATGGTCATTTCTCAATAATTTTAAACACAAAACCATTCATCGATTAGCCATAAAGTAGAATCAGCAGAATGATGAATAATTACATTATTTATTAGTTGCAGCCATGTCCAGATCAACACACTTAGGTGAGTTTAGGGCAAAAATCTATTATGTGTCTCTGTTGGCTCCCATTATCTCACACTCATTAACTAATAATGAAAGACTCTCCTCAAGCACCTCTTTAAGTGGTGCGTAGTATGCCACACATTATCAGTTATTATTCCAAGATCAATATTAACTATTTTACACAGTGTACCTGATTTTTTTTTGGAAGGGCCGTTTGTAATCCATTGATCACGCCCTGGTGAAATCATCACATTGATTCACAACACAAATGCAAAGAATGTGTTGCCATTAAGGTACCTTAACAGCCGATAGATCACTGTCTTGCTTGTAACAATACAGTATTATGTTATTGTTCATGCTGAAACTTTCTCTCACTCCCAGGTGGTAGAACAGGGAGGGCTGGCAGAAAGTGTCACTCATCTCCACCACTGCTACATCTGGGGGGGATTAAACAGGACGGGTTAGTCAACGGGGTTGGCCTAGTGCTTAAATTACCCCGCAGTCAGCATGCCTGCACTTGCCTGCGTTGTAGAAACTATCCAGGATGTCCGTGGTGCCCAGGGATATTCTCTCAAATGGGATTGTTTTGAAAACTGCCTGTGCGTCCGCGCAAGCTTCCTTCAGACATTTCAGGGATAAGTTCTCCTCAGTCTGCGGCACGGACGCGTGCTCGTTCAAGATGTATGCCACGGAGACAGCCCTGGTCCGACTGCGTGGGGAAACGATCGGTCTAACGGAGCCGCTGGCACTCAGCTCTATAGCCAGAGAGTCCTGCCACAAACTTCCAGCAGACACCCACACTGGATCTTTCCTCTTCAGCTCGCGCAGGCTCATTCTCCTGCGCTCCGTTGTGTACATGTTGTCACTTATCCCGCAGCTGGAACTCAATGCATGAACTTTGTAGTGTCAACCTCCATTAGAAATCTAACAACACGGTTGCTTGTTCTTGTAATTCCCCAGGTGTGTCAACGCCCCCGCTCACAGCACATATCCACTACCATTCCCGGACTCTTCCCCACTCGACCCGCCCTCCTCTCCTCCCCTGCTGACATTTTCAGACTGACACTGAACGCCACACAAGCCTCGACTCTCGCATGACCCCTGCTGTGAAAAGCTGTTATTCAATTCCGATGGTTACAGGTGAACACTGATGGGATGGTTGCTGTGTCCCAACAATAATGCAACATGTTAAAGATAATTATTTATAATGTCTTCTTGCATATCAATAATAAAAAAACCTGTCTTGATCCGTTAAAAAAAAAAATCAAGTTAGAGATGCAGAAAGACAAGCGGACTGGCTGGGTTGGGGGGGGGGGGGAGAAAAAACATGTTATTTTGTCATTTCTCTTGCTTCTTCTTCTGTTGACCTGTCTGATTTTCCAAGTAATTCCCTTCAAACAAAACTATTATATATATATTTAATATTAATATTAATATTAAATATTTACTTTAATCCGAGGAAAGCTTGGAGTTCAGTTCCAAGCCCCGACCCAGCTGCGCTAAACAAAAAGTAGATATGCTGAAAGAAAGTTTTCCACTAAATGTTGAATCACAATGGGCTCACAAAGTGCTTAGTCTTAATGTTTGGTAATCTTACATTACAATTCTTGACATATAACATGGAAATCTATCTGATGAGGTGTCTACATTAAAACTCCAGACAATCCAAATTTTCACGATCTTTATTCAAAGTACATAGATGGAAATTTACTATGAATGCTGTCGGCTTCAAAAATTAAAAAAAATTAAAACAGGGAGTCTGTAAATCCACACAGTATTGGTGAAAGGAAACACAACTGAATCAACGAGTTTCCCCCTGCTCTACAAAGCAAAAAAGGCAACATCATTACAAGAATGTCTGTAATGTGTTTACTGACAATAAGCAATGCTTATGTGACATGAATCTAGAGTACACATTCCACGTATCGTACATTGATATATACAGCCTGGACAAAGACAAGAGATCAGTCTTCTGCTAAACTTTGTACGAGTGCTGTGATCCAAAAATATAAAATTAACTTTTTTTATTTAGCAAGAATCTTTATCTGGCACTGAGCACTTTGTGAGCGCTGTCAGATGTGAGATCAGTAACGCTTACACAGATATTACACAAACAACCTGAGAATAGGAAGTCTTCTCTGAGACAGTTGTGGCAGGTTTAAGCAACAGTTCGGTAATTACAGAATATACAAACCAGCCTTGTTCCATTATTGAAATAAAGTCCAACATTTACCGGTTCCATTCATTGTTCCATTCCCTGCAAAAACAGCCATTTGCTGAACACTAATGGAGATGTTATCGACCCTTAATGAACTGGACAAATGGGTTCTTGAGAACAATTTACTCATCAAGGCCCTCATCATCATCTTCCTCCTCTTCCTCCTTGGTGTCCACCTCGGTTGTGTCTGAGAACTCGTGCAGGAGGACGTACTCGCGGCTGCTGAAGCCAAACTTGATAACGTCTTTTTCTTTGAGCTCGTAATAGCGTTGACCTTCGATGCGCTGGTTGTTCAGGTAGGTGCCGTTGCCGGAACCCAAGTCAATGATGTAAGGCCTCACCCTGCGGCCACTGGTGCCGTCTGCACGTGTAAACGGCATCAGCCTGCAGAGAAACAGACAGGAAGGAAGACCAGTTTAATGCAGAGGAGCTCTAAATGATACAGATTGAAATAGGAGATTTATAGCACAGCAAAGTCAAAAAACACAGCTGATAATTGTTACTCTTACCTATACTGGAAGACTGCATGCTGCTTGGAACAGGAAGGGTGGTCAATGGCGATATCAGCTATTTTTCTCTGCCGCCCCAACAAATAGGCACTCTGTCTGTGAATGTACATGACTGGAAGGGGTTCGTCGTTCTTGAAAGGGTACAGTCGCCATCTGCGCTTGGGAATGCGAGCCTCAGGTGGCTCATTGTACTTGATCACCTCCCCCCGGAATGTGTTGGTATCTTCCGTTAAAGCCCCGGACAGTCCGAAGTTGGGCTTTTCTTTGTCAGGAGGCGGGTCATCTGGGTCTTCAACCCCTCCTTCAGACTGTCCAAAATCCTGTTCTTGGTTTTCTTCACGCCGCTGGCGGTTTTCTCTGCGCCGCTCATCGTGTTGCCGTCTTTCATCTTGTTGAGAGCCAAGTGCTTCTTGCTCTTGCTGTCTGTCTCTGCCACGGTCTCTCTCTCGCGGTATGTCTATTTCCCGCGGTCTGTCCGTTTCCCGTGGTCTGTCTGTTTCCCACCTGCTCCGCCTTTCTTCTGGCTGCTCATTTCTCCTCCTCCTATCCTCCCCACTGGTCCGTGGCTCATCCTGCTCCTGTGAGATTATTTGTAAATCGACAGTTAGAGCAGGTAATCATGAGTTGACTTGCCTTCAATAACCACGTGTAGTCATTCTTCATTTGCGAATGTGGTAGCTATGCTATCGGGCCAATTCAACCACATGATGGCTCTCAATGTAGCGAGCAGAAACAAGTTTGAACTACAAAAACATTCAATTGTTACAGTTTAAAAAAAAAAAAAGTGTATTTGTTTATTTTTATCAAGTAGAAATAGCCATTGAAATAATATAATTTAAATGAGCGAGCCAGTGAGAAGTGCTGTCTGCCGTAGGAACATAGTTGACATACTCTTAGGTACTATGCCAATACTGAAGCAGCTGTTTAAGGTGCAAATATAAGATAAACACTGGTAGCCTCCACTTGTATGTGCCACATGGAGAGAAAAGTGGAGTAACTTAAACCTCTGAATCAAGAAATATCCAATGATAAAAGCTATATGGCATGTTTCTAATAATGTAGGACCTAATCACCCGCTTTATTTTGACATCAGCACCACGTTGTGGAGGAGTGCGACTTCTTCTGTTTCTGGTGGATCTGCTTCCTCGTCTGACGGGAGAAGTCTCTCTTCTAACTGGTGAACGGTCTCTTGTCCTGGCGGGAGACCTACACGAAGAACACAAAAAAAGGCCCTAAATTAACTTTGTAAAGACGTTTACATAGCAAACTAACAAATTATTGCCGTTCAGATGCAGCTAATATGTGCTAACGCGTTAGCTGCGTTTGTTCGGTAGGCAAAACATCTTTAAACTCACTGGCGAACGCGTATGTCGTGTCTGTCAAGGTAATACAATGACTTAAAATCGAAAATACCTGCTGGTTCTTCTCCTCTGTGGACTGGAGTGGCCGCTGGATCTGGACCGGGAGCGGCGTGTTCTCTGTGGCCTAACGGGGCTCACCTGCTCCTGCTTTATCTTAACTTTGGGCTCCCGCTCCGGGGACTCCCTTCTCCTGTGTCGCTTTTCTTTGGTCATTCTAATGTATGTAGACTAATCCAACCGTTGTGTAACTAATCTCACATCACCGTTCGCCCAACAGCATGTAACAAAACAAACAAAAGCAAACTCAAAAACGTAGCGATTACAAAACTTCGACTATTATGCTCAATTTGGAAACTTCCGTTTCCCGTGGTGTACCGAGAAATGACGTCGACGTGATGACTTACAGGGCTCGATTTTGGTTCCGTATGACTCAGTCTATCATTTACGTACGGTCACGGTAACATCTTAAATAAAGCTGGTGTTGTGTAAAATGACAGGTCGAAATATTAACATTTTTTACAACGAGTATTTCTATTAAAACAGTGATCTCCCTTAAAAACATAAACAAGTCGTAAAACGGGCGTATAATTTATGTCACACCAAGTACAGCCTTTCTTCTAATTAATGTTTGTCCTAAATATTATAAACGAAGATTGTGTTTCTGAACCAAACCGCTGATCCCAACCGGACAAATCAAAATGTAACACCGATACGCTGTTGTCATAACAACGCAAACAATGAGCATTGTATTAGCAACCGCACAACGGTATTTCTGTAAGTGAAGCTCACAGCAAGACATTTATGATTTAGTGAATAACTTCATTATTTTTGTATAGTTGACAGAATGATTCCACCTTCCGAGTCTCTCCTGAAATACGACAATGCTGTTTTGGTAAGCAAAAGCACAGACAGAAAATCACCAAAGGTAAGTTTAACCAGAAATCCGAGTTTAGACCTTACCTGGCTAAAATAATGTTGGATTGAGGATTAAAGTGGTGCAGGTATAGAGGGGAAATACTCAGTCAGAAAGTGATGAAAAGTATGATTGTGTTACACACGTTGTATATTGTTTTTAGAAGTTTGGTGTAGCAGGGCTGCCAACACTCACGCATTGAGCGTGAGAGTCACGCAATTAACCCATATCTCACGCACTCACGCCACACTTGCCTTTCCTCACGCTAAGTTTTCGTCCAAAATAAATGTATATAAATATAAAAATAAAGTGAAGGAACATTAAACCGAGCGGTCTTCTGGCTTAGTTCAGTAAAGTTGGAAGGATATTGGGAGATTCTGATTTCACGGATCAATAACTCATGAACAAAACATTATTCAGACACAAATGACGTCTCCTAAGTACCGTGGTAAGGTTGACAACGAACTACAATCACATTTTGATAAAAAAAAAAAAGCCAATACGCGCCGTCCTCCGAGCTGGACACATTACATTGGTCTCTATCCGCAGCCGGAGAAGAAACGAGTGCTCAGGGACCGTCTGCAAAGTGCAACTCCGAAAAAAGAGAATACAATAATATTCAATCACTGTTACAGCTTATTTCTACCAAACTCACCACACACATCAATAGTCTCCTGTGTGTCATACTACAGCAAGGACTTTGGAAGAATATGCTTTTGAATAATTTGGGGGAATATTTATAATGTAAATCTTCAATAACTATGCTATCATCTTAAATAGCTTTACTATTATACAGTATATTTCTACCAAACTCACTATTTGCATTGTTGTTGTTAGCATCTGGTTAGCTTAGCGGATATTAAAAGCTGTTTCTAAAACAAGGAAAGGGAGAGCTCTGTCCTGTCAGACTGAGAGATAACTACAGCTCAGTGAGGTAAGGGACTCTGTTTAGATAGTTAACTTTAGTCTAGTTATCTCAGTGGGTCTCAAACGGTTTGGTCACCATTTATGAGAATAAATGAAAAACAGTGATGAAATACTATGACAGTAAAACAAGAATACAGTTTAAAAGGGGAGTGATTAGTAAAATATCCATAAAGAAAAAGAAAATCTGTTTACAGTTCTGTTTGTGTTGAGAGATGTATCCTTAAATTCATTTTGCTCTCAAAGTGCACCAGGTTGATGCATTTAACTTCAATATTTAAAAAAAAAATCTTCCCGGGGGAGCATGCCCCCGGACACCCCTAGAGGAGGAGGTGAGGTGAGGTGAGGACCCCCCCCCACTTATAAAATAGCACCTCTGCTTACACCTATATGCCATTTGATATGCTGTGAGCTGATTATCGAGCCTTCATTGTAAGACTCGCGGGTACACTGTGTATGTAGCGCCCGGTACATTAATGGGAAACCCTAGTTTGTACATGTTCAATACATTTGTAACACTGTACACATGAACGTTTCTTTTTTCGGTTCACCAAAAAAAAAATCTCACTCCAAGCTGAACTCAAATGTTGGCAGCCCTGGGTGTAGTCTGAACTTGGCTTAAAAATAAATATGAAATAAGATCAATCGTGTATTGTAGGCTATTCATAATGTACTATTTTTTCGTTTATTTAAAAGTGGATTTAAATCTGAAACAGGAAAAATATTATATTGATCACTCATTCACATTACACCAGCTAGTATTTTGTATGTGTGGCAACATCAGCAAGAATACTACTGTTATCTCTTTGCTTTTAATGCACGACCAAGAAAATGTATTGGTTATTTTCAAAACATGATTTTATTGAGAAATGTAACGTTTAATGCAACTTACATTTTGTTCACCACAGGGACGGCCTTTGAGAGTAAGCCCTCAGCAGCCTGCTGACTCTAGCCCTGTTCCCCAACCCCCAAAACCAAAACCAGTCTCCGCTGATGCCACCAAGCAGGAAAATGATGAGACCCTCAATGCCATCCTTCCACCCAGGTATTGCTTTTCCCCTCAACATGTTTTGCTTAACAAGCTCAAACCATGCTTTCATTAATCCAAACTTCTACCATTACAGGGAATGGATGGAGGGAAACCAATTGTGGGTTCAACAAGTATCCAGTGCACCTTGTACAAGAGCAGATGTTATTCACCTAGAGGAACTGCTGGACATCAAGATGCAGCAGAGGCAGGCCAGACAGACAGGAATCTGCCCCGTCCGCAGGGAGCTCTTCTCCCAGTGCTTTGGTAAGAAAGAATCTGAGATGTTGGTGACTACTGAGGTTATAATAATAGATGTATACAATGCCTTACACACAGAGAGTAAGGCCAAGAATGTTATCTAGGTTTTCATACAACGCTGGATGTATATCCCTTTGTAGTCTTACTTCTGATGGAACAATGTTCTTATTATCAAATGAAGGCAGTTTTCACTCACAACATTAACTTCACCGTCTGATTTTCCAACTTTCTTTTAAGATGAGCTAATCAGACAGGTGACCATCAATTGTGCCGAGAGGGGTCTGCTTCTGTTGAGGGTCAGAGATGAGATTCAAATGACTATGGCCGCCTACCAGACACTGTATGAGAGCAGCGTGGCTTTTGGAATGAGGAAAGCACTGCAGGCTGAGCAGGGCAAGGACGACATGGAGAGAAGAGTAAGGACATTTAATTATTTGTTATGACTTACAACTGCCAAGACAATAAGGGGCACAAAGACCCCCACATCTGAGTTTTGCAACATGCAATAAGAGATTTAGTAGTTTTCCACTGATCTCAAGCCACAGGAACAGCTCAGTAAAGTATCCAGCAGAGGGCACCATTTCACTTTAAGAGTTATTGTGAAATAAGGACGGCGGTAGAGCTCTCGAAATATTTTATTCTGGAACAAAAATTACAATTGTTTCTTTTCCCATACCCTAGATCTCTGAACTGGGAGATGAGAAACAAGAGTTAAAGAAGCAACTGAATGAGGAGAAAGCTAAAAGCGATTCCATTGAAAGGAGAGAAAATGAGATGCGACAGGTGGAGGAAAAGAAGCACAGTGAAGAGATTCAGTTCCTGAAGAGAACCAACCAGCAGCTCAAGGTATGGTTTATTAATACAACAAGAAAAGCACCTTCTTTAGATTTAACACGGATAGTAGCCGTGTTGCCTGTTTTCAGAATTGACATTTTTCTTTCTATTTAGAACCAACTGGAAGGGATCATTACGCCAAAGAAGTAACTCCGCCAAACAAGATGCGTTACCATTTCCCAGTACACAATGTTAGTGAAAGTGTCTTTTGTCTTGTTTCTATGATCAATTCAAGTAAACAGAAGTGAGTGTCATTAGCACGTTTTTTATTACAGCATGACATGACACGTACAGCTTTCTTTAACATCAAGAGAGTATTACACCTGTCCTGTAAATGATGAATGAAATGTCATTCAAAAACAGGTCTGGGCTGAAGGGGAGAAGGAGTTTCAAAAGGCAAGATAAAAACAGTCATCAAGACAAGGCAGCAAGTGACCGCTTGATACAGACCTTTTAATGCTAAGTTAGCATTCCACCTTCTGTTAACTCCACACTTTCAAAAAAAACTTGGCTTTTGGCAAGTTTAAATAAAGATTTGTACAAATGTGTTCCACGACGCCAGTCTAGTGCTTTCTTCTTTTGGCCTTCTGGCCTTCTGTGGCAGATGCTGGGGCCTTTCTGTCCTTGTTCTTGTTTTTCACATTGGCTGTTTCGTAATAGCGCACGCCAATTTTCTTCCCCTTCTGAGCACGGTCAATCGCTCTTCTCTGTAGAAAGGGATAAAGATAAAGGAAAAAAATGAGCTTTTCAACTCCAATCCTGTCTCATCAGTAAGACAAATCCTTCACCTACCGCGTCGACACAGAAAGATCTGTTTGACGTCAGAGAGAATAAACACTGAATACCTGTTTAGACGTCAGTTTTTGGACTTGGTTAGACCTCTCTTCCTCCTCAGATCTCCTCTTCTTGCTTCTCTGGATTACAGCTGAATTCAAACAAACATTGACAAGTCAGTTGAGTGCCTGGATGGATCACAATGTCCGCTTTCATACCAAGTACTTTGCCGTACTTAGTTCCCAGCACTTAGAGCAGATCGCGTTCACACCGGAATAAGTTCCCTGAGGGAAGATTACGCAAATTAAGCCGCTGACGTCACTTCTTCTGCTTTGGGTTTACTGGCAGGCCGCAAACAACTTCACGGCGTATACTGCCGCCCAAAGTCCCCGGCCGGAAGTCCCCGGAGTTGGGGACTTCCGAGTAAATCGCCAGAACGCCGACACCTCCTCCTCATCACTCCACCGCTCCCATGTTTTTTTTTGTGTTGCCATAAGTTAGTCTCTCTCCGTTGGTGCGCAGGGCTAATGCTAATGCTAATAATGCTAATGCCAGCAAATACAATGGCGGCTTCACAAACCTTTTCAGAGTTTTATGGGGCGTGGTTTGCAATCTGCCCAGCCAATCAGAAATTGGAACTTTTTTCTCCCCGGGAAAGTACCACCTCTCTAGCAGGGACTGAAAAGGCGGGAGAAGTTCTCATGAAATAAGTTCTCTTTTTGGTGTGAACGCAAAATCCCAGGAACTATCGGAACTAAACGGGAAAAGTACTCCGGTGTGAAAGTGCCTAATGTCAGCCTGACCAGCCCGATTTGTATGGCTTCTATATTTTCTATTTTGTTCACATGAATGTTCCTTTGGACCCGAACAACAAATGTCATACTTCTGATAAAAGCACGACATCAGCACCATACAGAGTCATACATGTGGATAGAATACCATGAATCTGTGCTGCAGCTTGTTTTTCCTTGATGTCTGCGAATGCTTTTTCTGCAAGTGCCTTGGGTATCCTGCGCAGAGAAGAAGAAACAAGTGGATCATTAGCCAACAGAGCAAACAGTTTACTCCTGTTGGTATGTTGGAAATCAGAGTGGTTCAATATGGCGCAGAGTGTCTATGCACGGTGTTCTTCAGTGTGCCGGCTGGAATTCAACAGCAGATCAAATAACATATTAGTGTGCCAAAGTTGAGCAACAAAAAAGTTAAGGTGACGACTGCTAGTCCTCAGGGGTTTAGCGGCTGGTTAAAACGGCCAACTAACCATCTCTCGGTCTGGCAACTTCATGTTTAAAATTAGGGCAATACAGAAAATAAATAAATAATGTGAGTGTAGTCTTACCGGATTGATGAGAAGCACTTGTTTTGGGCCCGGTCCAGGAAATGCTTGTACTTGTTGATCTTTTCATCCAGCTGACGGATCGTCGCGCGTGGCTTCTTCTTTGCGTCTGTCTTGTCGGTCGGAGCGGTCGAGGGCTCTGGGGCCTCAGTCTCTCCATCGGCTGGTTCCACACTGGTCCCGTCTTTCCCTTCTTCTTTCTCTTTCCCTTCTTCTTCTTCTTCTTCCTCCTCCTCCTCCTCTTCACTGTCTCCCTCTCCTTCCCCGTCAGAGCCTGAGAGGTCAGACAGTCCCAGGTCAGGCATCTCCACAGGAACCAAGTCTTCTTCATTGAACTCTGGGGCCACGTTGATCTTCCCGAAGTTCTGTTTCACACTAGAGATAATCTTCTGGACCCGCTCCTTCTGTCTCTGCTTCTTTTCGTCCTGTTCCTCCGGGACGGCTGCAGGATTGTCTGTCTGTTCCTCCATCACCACCTCTACTGCCTCTGAGGGGCCTTCAACTGGCACTGGCGCCTTGCCCTAGAGAAATTCAGAAACACAACACAGGTCAACAATATAAGGCAGAGTCGAAATGTTGTTCACTGATAAACCACAGGTGGAGAATTCAGTAAAGTCTCACCTCGTGTTCCTCATCAACACCTGGGGGTTTTACAAAGAAGGGGATACGTCCTCTCTGCCAATCGTTCAACACCATTTTGGCGACTGTGGAGATGTCCGGCTCGCCGCCCTGTAGAATAACGGGAATATATTGATTTAGTTTAGGACTAAAAACAGACTTTTACATTTGCTATTCAGCTTAAAATAAACCATTTGTATTAAATAAGGATTCACTGTTGGACTTCCTAAACATTTACACTTTTTAATATAGCAGAGGAAACATTTGTTGAATATCCACAAATGCTTTAACTGAATGTATGACTCATACTGATAACCAAGTCTTGTTGATAACCATATTCACGTTTTTCATGAAAAACATTACGTACGAGATTAACAGCCGTAAGTACAGACAGTTAATGTTCTGCAAGCAAGGCAAATGAAAGGAACATGCACACCTTCATAAGTTTCCCGGTGCGGAAGGCCAGCTTCTCCAGGAAGTCTTCAGCAGAGTTCCAGGTGGGGATGCGGTACGTCTTCTGAATGTATTCTGGCTTAGCCCGCTCCAACACTGCCCCGATGTGCTCCTCCGGGACTTTGATCTTCTCCACTTGAACCTTTGTGAAGAGGGAAAAGACAAAAAGATGTGAAAAAGATGGACCTGCAACGTTTCATTTACGGGGACTGCATGGCCTCCATGTTAAACCCAATAACTGGAAAAGGCATCTGGAGGATCAGATTAAAGCGTCATCTAAACAAGCTTATTAAAACCAAGCTGTCCAAAAAGCCAGATCTAAAGCAATGTTGACATTTCGTCTGATCAGATGTTACAATTTGTTCAGTGTTATTAGGAAAACAATTGAAATTGAATTCACCTCACTTGTATTCTAGTGATAGCATAAGTATAAAACAAGGCAAATATCACGATACCATGGTAAACAAAAACATAAGGGAGACTTACAACTCCTTTCAGGACGATATCAGACTCGCTGTCTTCTGACGGATAGACGACACCAGGACAGTCAATGAGGAAGATGCGTCTCATCAGAGTGATGTACTGCCACACCTAAAAAAGGAAGGAGATTAATGTTATCTGTAGAATCTAAATATTTCCGCTTCACATGCCATGTTCAATAATGTGTGATTTGACTTGATCTTGTTGGTATTTAATGATATAAAAAGAAAGTCAACTATTCAGATAAGAGAAGCAAAACATTATTTATCTTTTGATGGAGCTCAGCAGAGACTGTTAGACTTCCTTTTTTTGTCTTATGTTACAAACATAACCTTTTCCACTATTGGTTCATCAAAAGGACGGTAATGAAACTTCCTACTGAAACATAAACACATATCAGGTATAACAAAAGGGAGCGTGAGGGTCACAGCGGTGGTGCGGATCATCAGGCTGTTAAAAAGCGTTGACTGCGAGGTGAGAATCAAAGACGAGGTGAGAGATGTTGTTTCAGCTATAAATAATAACCAAGAAGGAGGAAACACATATTTTCACCTCACACGACCTTGGAGCCAAAGCTTGTCTCACCTTTCCACTCACATAACGCCTTTTTGCACCAATACCTTTTTCTAGTAGCGTTTATGTACTCTTTTCATATTCTTAGTCTTTACATTGTCGTGAGTGTAAAGTCAAACCTGAGTTTCTTTCTTATCATTATTTCTCTTTACTCGGCACATATTCCATTGGTCACTTTGCACGGTTGCATGTCAGAGGTCTGCTTGGCTGAGATGACACTCACCTTGGTCTCTCCAGCGAGGGGAGCCACATTGCAGACTTTCTTAGACCGCAGGGTGTTGATGACCGAGCTCTTTCCCACATTAGGGTAGCCAATGAAACCCACACTAATCTGTTTCTTGTCAGTGTGGAGCTGTGGGAGACAAAGAAAGTCAGAAGGTTGTGTTTCCATTGAAGTCATTTTAGATGGGGCTTTGTTGCCATTTGCAATAAACCAAGTGAACTTGTCACGAGTCCAGAGCTGCAATGTAGTTCGTTCAAAACACAAAGGATATCTTAAAAAGGGTTTCTTATGTAAACACAACAATCACGCAACCTTCTAAAACAAGGGATATTTGTTCCTATCCCTGGAGGCAAACCCTAAACGCTGTTTTGGAACAGGCTCTTTTACTTTGTTGTCTCACGAATTCTGGGTGAATGTGGTGCGACAGAGCACACTGTATGTTACCTCAAATTACACGAATATAAAACCCTTTTCATTTTAAAGCCCCACTTTCACAAATCCGTTCCATTCCTTAGCCACTGCGTCATATCTCTTGTTCAGGTCAAGAACACCTTTATTAATGTCTGTTTATCATCATCATCATCATCATCATCATCATCATCATCATCATCATCATCATCATCATCATCATCATCATCATCAGGTAACTAAACTCAAACGTAATGAGGGTTTTGAAAATGTGAAAATAGGATGTTTATGACGTGAGAATAAAAGCAGCTTTGTTATAAAAATGTCCTTACTGAGGAGCTCTGAATTATCATATGAATTGTAATTATAGTCACATCGAAATAATAAATAATACTTTATAATATAATAAAATAAAATAAGGACTACAGAGAAGAAAACCCAAACACTATCATACAAAATGAAAGCAAGTAAAATAAACAATAGATTACAAAAGCAAACACATAGTTCTGTTGCACTTCAAATGATTCCACTGACTGAAAAATAAGATCAGGGACAAAAAGCCAGAACGATAAATTGTATCTGGGGTTGTTATTGAAGCAGTACATGTGTATCTGCTCTTGACTAATCACAGATATGTTTTGAAAGTGACGCATTAGCTTACCTTGCCAAACTGCCGGAGCAGC